GTAGTGGGGTGTACTAATTTATGCTGAGCACTGTAGCAGTTAATTAGTAGTCATTTTGTAGACAGCTCTAGTTAAGAAAGCAGCATAGTAACAAAACAACCAGCATTAAATCATATTTACAAATTTTGTGTAATCTTCTTCATTTAAAATTTAAAATCTGTTTGTGTCCTCAGGCGGTGTTTGACTGTGTGGTTAACTCTCTGAAGAATGTGCTGAACATCCTCATTGTTTACATCCTCTTCATGTTTATCTTTGCCGTCATCGCAGTTCAGCTCTTCAAGGGGAAATTCTTTTATTGCACTGATGAGTCCAAAGGCCTGGAGAAAGACTGCAAGTTGGTCTAAAAAAAATCCCCACATCCTCACTTCATATTTCAGAGCTTAAGTAACTAAACTTTCAAATGCTACTTCTTGTGTGCCTGTCTCCACTTGCTTTATTTCTTACAGAGGACAATTCCTAGATTATGACAAAGACGAGGTGGCCGCCATGCCCAGAGAGTGGAAAAAGTATGAGTTCCATTATGACAATGTGCTGTGGGCTTTTTTGACCCTCTTCACTGTCTCGACCGGGGAGGGCTGGCCAACGTAAGTACAGCTAGTCTGATTATTAAAATGTATTCAATGAAAAACAGGGCTTGTCCAGGAATGTAGTTCCTTGTTCATAAATGTAGCCTTACATGATTCCAATGAGAAAACTATTTAAAAATGCAAATAAAACTGAAAATAAAAACTTACCAAGACAGAAGTTCATCCAAATATTCAGAAGGCTCTGGTATGATGTTCAAGCCAACAAGCAGAAAACCCAATACATTAATCAGAAAAGATCATAGCATCATAAAGTTCAATTTTATTTATACAGGACCAAATTACACCTACAAACCCTTCAAGGTTTATATTGTAAGGTAAAGACTATGGAAGCTCGTTTCCACCACACACAAAAAAGTATCCATAACTTGAAATTTTGAGTTATTTACTCGAAATTTCGACTTATTAACTCAAAATTTTGAGAAAAGTAATTAAAAAATTCGAGTTAGCTCTGCCAACTAGCAATCTACATGAACGATGTCATTTTGTTGTTACCTGGAAGGGGTGAACAAAGGCCAAAATAACAAACAAAACAAGCTACTACAAACTACAAACGCTACACCTAACTCCCTAACTGAAATAAACAGGAGAAAACAGTACAAGGAAAAATAATAAGGCAGCTCACCCCTTCTGTTTCAGTGCTATTTACAATGTGCTATTTACAAGTGAAAACTAATGTACACACTAAGTACAAAGCTCAGTAAGTCACGAGAATCACAAATATCACAGAGTTTGGAGGCCAGGGTCAGGTCTATGCTGCTGTCAGTTGCTGCCCCAATAAACTGCTGGTGAGGGATTTTTAAAGCAACCATGATCAGGGGACCAATCAGCAGCCGTCAGCTTATCCAATCAGGGACCTGCAGGGACTTAAAGACACAGACAGAACAAGAAACAGCCACCAAGAGACATTATGGCCAGGGCCATAACTCAAAATTTTGAGAAAAGTAATTAAAAAATTTGAGTTAGCTCTGCCAATTAGCAATCTACATGAACGATGTCATTTTGTTGTTACCTGGAAGGATATGGCTCAGAGGAATGGCCACTCAAAACCGGATCGCAACATATTGGCGCTTTCGAGATTATGTTTTCCGTTAGTAATGCCATGTGATTCGGCTAATAACACAAGGATTTCATCATTTCTGAAGCCACACTGAAAATACTCAGCAATTTGTGCATTCATGACTGGCTATAATACTGGTAGCTTAGCTATGTCATTTGTAGCTGAGGGCTTCAGCTTCCGGGTAACAAGAAAATGACATCATTCACGTAGATTACCACGTAGATTACCGATTGGCAGCACTAACTCAAAATTCCGTGTTACTTATCTCAAAATTTCGAGAAAATAACTTGAAATTTCGGCACTAACTGGCACTAAATGGAAGGAGCATACAACCCCAGCCTCTTTACACTGGGTCACTGTTCCTTACAGGATCCAATTTAAACTCTTACTTTTTGTTTTTAAGGCACTTACCGGCCAAGCCCCATCTTACCTGTCTGAGCTCCTAATTATTTTTGCTCTAGAGAAAACCATGAGGTCCAGTTCAAAACTCATGTTGTCAATTCCACGGACTACTTCATTCCTGTGGCGACAGAGCCTTCTCTGTGGCAGGTCGCAGACTTGTGTTGTGCATGGTGAACCAATACAGGAATTGAGCCATATGAATGAATGAATGAATGAATGAAAGCCTTTATTTGTCACATACAGGTTGCCCTGCTGCGAAATGGAGACCCCCCCCGACCTTACACACAAGACACAAACATTACATGGGGTTACAAGTCGGAGATAGGTAGCGTTACAGAAAAACACCGAAATGTCCACACAACGGGAAGGTACAAGAGGAAAAAAAGAGACCTCCCCTCATGCTGTGCTTCCATGGTAGGACAGCACGAGAACAGGAAACAAAAAAACTCCTCTGCACAAAAAAGCACATGAATGTCCACGTCACAACATAATAAGACATAACAAGCCACAGGGTTGGGTAGGGGATAAGGAGTAGCCCCAGGCAACACAGCAGCAATCCTTCCACAGCGCCGTCTCTTGTACAGCGCGGGCCCAGACCCGCCTCGTGTTCCCGGGGGACAAGAAGCAACGAAGGCGTTGGAGAAGGGGGGGGGAGATGAGTGAGTGCTTATCAGTGTAAGTGTGTGTGTGTGCGTGTCCATAGTTCAGCTGAGACAGTGTCCTTCGCCCT